TGGGGTGTTGATGGGGAAATGTCACCTAGACAATGTGGGGGAAAGTAACGTGCCCTTTTGGCAACCAAAAAAAGTCTATTACAATGTAAACGACAAGTTGAGGCAGAGTTATTGAGAAGGGACAAAATCATATTTCTGATCTTTACTGATTTTTTTTTTAAATCTGGCATTTATAACCTTGAACAGAATAATCTTGAAGAAATGCACTGGCTGTTTAGATACTTACCTTCTTCCAGGCCAGGACTCCTGCTCCTCTGCCCACCTTGACTGAGTGTGAACATGGCCTTAGGAAAGTAGCTGTAAAGCCTGGTGAGCTCATGGCTGAGCGAGGGGCTGGCAGAGACTTTATTGCTCCTGCCCCATAATGTCATGTTTTTTCTTTTCTTTCTTTCTTTCTTTTTTTTGTACTGGGGATTGAACCTAAGAGTGTTGTTGCCCAGGCTGGCCTCAACCTTACCATCCTACTGCCAAAGCCTTCCATGTCACTGGAGTTACAGACATGCACCACCATACCTGGCGCTCATAAAAGTTTTAAAATCTGACCGCTAAGATTTGCAATAAGAATACTTTTGGAATAAACAAATTTTTAAAATAAAAATTATCATTTGTTATTATAACCCAGAAGGTCATTCTAACTGTAATGTCTGGCTTTAGCAAAGGTTGATTTTTAACCCTTGTTGATTCAACAGTAGGCCAAAATGGAATTCCCTCAGCTCTCTGGCTTCTCTCCCTGGCCTCCCCTCTTAGCAGGATCAAATAAATACAGCCCAAGGAAGGCTAATTTGAACCAGTTATCCCACTCATCAGTTCATGCCCAAAGAACTTAAAATTAGCATTCTACAGTAATGCAATGGCATCAATGTTTAGCAGCTCAATTCACAATAGCTGAGCTATGGAAACAACTTAGGTGTCCTTCAACAGATGAATGGATAAAGAAAATGTGATATATATATATATATATATATATATATACACACACACACACACACAATGGAATATTACTCAGTCATAAAGAAAATGAAATTATGGCATTTGCTGGTAAACGGATGGAACTGGAGACTATCATGCTAAGCAAAATAAGCCAGTCTCAAGATATCAAAGGCCAAATGTTCTCTATGATATGTGGAGGCTAACCCACAACAAGGGAGGCTGGGGAGGGGGGAAATGGAAGCCGACAAAGAGGAACAATAGGAAGGGGGTGGGGAGGGGGAGAGGAAAGACAGTAGAATGAATCAGATATCACTTTCCTATCCTTGTATATGAACACACAACTAGGGTCACTCCACATCATGTCCAACCACAGGAATAGGACCCTAGGATATGTCATGTTCCATGTATGTACAATACGCCAAAATGCACGCTACTGTATGTATATCTAAAAAGAACAATAATCATAGTAATAACTTAAAAGAAAATGTTTGGCAATCCCTAGAAATAAAATGAATTATCATTAAAAAAAAAAAAAAAGCCTGAAACAATGATCATCGGATGAGCTCTGTGGGGTTAGGTCCCCCTCAATAGGAAGTCCCTCATCTGCTATTTGCTGCCATCACTTCTGCACACAAGGCCGCCTGGTGCCTTTCCAACACAGGTAGCCACACCGGCGAGTGGCAAATGAACCCAAGCCCCTCCCTCCCGGCCCCTGCCCAGCTCCGAAGCCCGGGCTTGGCCCCGTTCTCCTCTCTCCCCACGTGCGGCAGCTCTCCTGCCTGCACCGCAGACTCGCCCTTGCAGGGCAGCGGCATCGTCTAAGGTGTTGGCAAAGCACTGAACTTGCGGAGCTGGGTGTTGCGTGTCACTTAATCTATGTTAAAAGATTAAGTGAGGTGACCAGGTGACCAGGGGGAAGAGGGTGGACTCAGCCGCCCTCGCGCAGGGCTGGACGCTCCAGTGCCTTGCCCACGGCCCGCTGCCCGCGCCTCCGTCGAGGCTACGTCCTTGGCTTGCTGCGACCGAGACCCGAGACCCGTCACAACTTGCCGCGACAAAGTGCTGGCAGTGCAACCCGGAGCGGTAAACATGCAGCGTAATTAATGTCTTAACAACTTATTACAATCCTCAGATAATTAATCACAGAAGCCAAACACGCCGTCTCACCCTCCTAATGTGCTAATGCTCTAATTATTATGCCTCAATTAAAGGGAAGTCAGTGCGCCTGGCTTCAAGGCGCACGCTCGCCAAGGGCTCCTGGTGGCTCCAGCAAACGGCAGGGCCTGGTGGGGCGGAAGGGGAAGGCCTCCACGAAGGCCCGCAGGCAGCTTCCGGGGAGACAGGCCGAAAAAGTGACGGACACCCTCTCTTGGATTTCACCCTGGGATTCACTGAGCTCCCAGACCCCACTCGAGCTTAGGGAGGTCTCTCGGAGGGTGGCGGGAGCAAGAGGTGCTTTCCAAGTGAAGGTGCTTTCCTTAGCGTGTGCTATGAGTGTGTGAGCTCCACAGAAGCCATTCCCTGCGGGAGACTTAGGAGCGAGTGTGGCCCCGAGCCCTGCCACCTCCCAGAAGCCTCGGGGCTCGTGCCTCCCTCTAAAGTAGACCTTAACCTCTCTTCAAATAATCTTGATTTTTTTGTGAAAGGCAAAAGGAAACACAAACACACACCCATAAACATACAAAGTGAAACAAAAACGTGTACAAAATAGCACCATGATTACTGCATGGGGGCATTTGATATTTTATGATCTATTTTATTCCACTCCTCAATGCTGCTGCACCCCACTAAGTGGATCCTACAACCTACTAATGGATCTCAATCTGGAGTCTGGAAAAATGCTGTCTATACAGTTCACAAGCTGGTCCCATTTTTCCCCCTAAGACTTAGCACTAATTTGAGACTAGGATCTGACTCAGCAGTCCCGAGGGCTACTTACCAACTAATCACCAAATCTTTCTGAGCAGTCACATGTCCCTCAACCAGTGGAGCTTTGCCCATCCACCTTGGTATCTATTTAGACCTGGTGGTAGATCTCTCTCTCTCTCTCTCTCTCTCTCTCTCTCTCTCTCCCACACACACACACACAATTTTCAGGATAATAAATGGTAACTATCTCAAAAGGGTGGTGGTGGGGTGTCCCTAAGTGTTAGGGAACCCTTTTGAGGTAAACAGAGTTTAAATATTCTGAGTACTAAAACCAACAGAAGGTAAAAATCACTGCAGCCTTGCTTGGAGTCGTCTTTTTGTTTCGTCTTCACATTTCTTTGTTTGCCACAGTTGGAACATTCCCTCTTTAATACTGTGTGAGCCACACCAGAGTGCAGGTAGGAAGTGGCCTGGCGTCACCAGGATGCCCCTGTGCCCTTGGAGATAAGCCTGGCAACCGAGCCTGCAGGACCCTAGGGCGCCTCTACAACCACAGGACAGTTCATAATTAGAAGATGATTTCTGTTCCCTTTGTGCTAGATACTGTTGGTTGAACTTCAGGAGCTACTGAGAAATATCAGTCTCAGCCGTTCACAGTTTGCAGACCTCTCAGGAAGATTAGATGTAGAAGCATAAAAAAAAAAGAAATCTCTCCACATCAGTATTAGATACTTGGCCCATAAATGATATCTGTTTAGCAGAGAGCCTGGGAAATTTCTAGAGTGCCCAACAAAGGTTTTGAAAGAGTGGCAGTCACTGCAGTTAGGCCTTAGAGAAGGAAAGGTACCCTTGTTTTAAATATGATCATTGGTGCACTATAACAGCAGGATTCACTGTGACATAGTCATACAAGCACATAAAATACTTCATCCCATACCTCCCCTGTCTCTCCTGAGAGTCCCCTTCCTCTACTGGTCTCCCTTCTATGGAAAAATGTCATTGGCAGGTCTATACATTATGGGTGGTCCCTGGCTCTTTATTCTCTCCCACCCCCTCCAGAGTCAGAGGACCTCTCCCTAGCTCCATTACTACCTCCTGGCCAAATCCCATCACCCCCACCGGGATAACTGTACCTGCCTTTGCTTTGGCTTCTTGGCCTTTGAGCTTGCCCCCTCCACACTCCTGCCCACACAGCAGTCAGGATAAGTCAGATCACCTCGCTTCTCCGGCTTCTCCCTCCATTGATTCTCCCACCTCATCTTCTCCTGCTTCCCTCCAAGCCCCATTCACTCTGGATGGATCTCGACGAGCCTCTTGAGGGTCCCCAAAGTCCCCAAACATGGCAGGTACCTTCCTGGCATTCACTGAGAGACCTGCGTGGCTGTCTTTGCCTCCTTCAGGTCAGGGCTCAAGTGACATCTTCTGAGGGCAGTCCTGGCTGCCCTACTTAACATGGCACCCCTGCCCTGCTCTGCCCCCCCTAAGCAATAACCTGTATGTTTATCTGTCTCTGTCACCCTTGTTAATGTCTGATGCCAGTGATGTGTTACCTGTGTACTATCGTGCCCTATTTACTTAAACCCAGTTGCTAAAGGAAGAGATCTGTGATGATTTATCTTATTTTTAAACATCACCCAGAACAGTGTGGGCACATAGTGGGCATTTAATTGAGATAACCAAGAAAGAACACTGAAAGGAAAAGGCAGCAGGTGTGTTGTAGGGGAGACCGTGATTGGTTGGCAGGGGTAGAGTTCTGCCCTGGAGGAAAGAGGGGACCGAGGCTGAAGAGGTGGGGGCCAGGCTGCTGCTTCCAGACCCTGGAGATGCCCCTCATCAGCACTGCTGTGGCCACAGAGGGCGACAGCCTCTCTTACTATTAAAAAGGCCAGGCTTGGTCAGGAGCGGTGGCACATGCCTGGAATCCCAGCCACTTGGGAGGCTGAGGCAGGAGGATCTCAATTATGAGGTCAACCTGGGCAAACTAACCAGACCCAGTCTAAAAATAGAAAGGGCTGGGGATGTCGCTCAACAGTAGAGTGCCCCTGGGTTCAATCCCCCAGTACCACAAAGAATTTTTTAAAATATATTTTTAAAACTAGTCTTTTGTCAGGAGGAGCTACTTTTCATTTGTCTAAAACCTTGGCTGGATCACATTCTGATATGAAGCATCCTGTAAACACAAAAATCAAGGCTACCCTGGGTGACGAGTCAGTCATTTTGCATAGCAAGAAGTTCAACGATGGCTTTAATGTTCAGAGACGGTGGATCACGAAGAAGACAATTGCTGTGTTTCTGCACGTAGTGTCTCCTTGGAACTCGGGGCGCTCTGCTCTGGGAAACAGATCTCTTTGGACTTGGATTCAGAGTTTGTGGGATGGGTAGGCAAAGGCCAAGCAAAGCTGAGGGAGAGGGTTTCAAAAACCAGGTGGGCTGCTCCTTGAGGTGAGAGCCGAGATGGTGTCTCAATCCTGCCATTATCCTGAGCAGGTTCACCTGCGCCGTGAGAGAAAAGCAGGATTCAGATCACCCAGTGAGGGGGTGTGTGCATGTGCTTGTGTGTATTTACCAAGTCCCTAAAATATATCAAGAATTAGTCATGCAGATCAGGAGCTCTAGACTGACAAGAGAACTGTTGCTGGCAGAGATGCACGAGGGCAAACTGCTTCCCCCAAATACCTGGCTTCCAGCTCTTTGTTTGGCAGAGAAGGCACGCGGTGGACCCAGGAGGGACAGGAGACTTCATCAGAAGCCGCTCTTTGCCTGCATTCTTGCTCTCACCTCCTGGATATACGCCTTAGATCAAGTCAGGAGGCCGCTCTAGGCAGAGGATGAGAGAGCATGTTAATTTCCACCTCACAGAATTGCTGAGGCGCACATGGCATGTGTCTGTGGGGGCATTCTCTGAGGTTCAGAAGGGAAGCTGCTAACAAAGCACCCCAGTGGCAGTGGCTAAAGGCAGTAGCCTGTCCTCACTGAGCTGCAGGTTGTCTGATGCGGGCTGAGCTCCACTGGACTGGGTAGTTCTCCCCTTCTCAGCTGGTTTTATTCCCATGGCCACATGGGGTGCACGGACCTGCGCAGGGCTCCATGACACAGATGGGCTCTGGTCTGCTTGGTGCTCATCTTCCTTCTGAGTCAGCAGGCTAGCCTAGGCTTGGGGTTTTGTTTTTTGTTTTTGGTTTTCTCATGACAATGGTACAGGCACCAGAGAGCAGCCCCACTCCTTCAAGAGCTTCTCAATCCTTCCCTTATACCATGCCTGCTAGGGTCCCATTGGCCAAGCAAGTGACATTGGTTAAAAGTCTCACGGGCGAAACTGTAGTGGACAAAGCTGGACTGGTACACGGCAGAGTGCGTGGATGCAGGGAGGGATGAAGAGTTTGGGTTGCAATCTATTTTAAAACTTTAAAAAAAATGCAAGATGGTCTTCGAATGCACTCAGTGTTGTCAAACAATGAGCAGAAGTCCTGGCTTCTCAAGGCTGGCTTTCTCCGGACTGCAGGGGATGGTTCTCTTCTGTCATAGCCCCCACCCTCCAGTCAGTCAAATGCAGGGAGATTGTTCACCATCCCCATCAGAGAAGGCAGGGTGCCGCGTTGGTGGGGAGCACAGGCCTGGTGGTCAGCTGGACCAGGATCTGAGTCCCTGCTCTTGTTCCGGGCTCACTACATGATCTTGGGTAAGTTGTTTAACCAACCTAAGTCTCACTTTCTATCTCCCCTGAGATCTTTTCTAGGCTCATGGCTTTAAAGGCCACCCTCAGGCTGAAGATGCTAAAATTTACATACGTAGTGAGAGCCTCTTCCCTGAGCTCCGTTGTGTACCTCCCCCCCTGCACATCTGCCGTTGGATATCCACCAGCATCTAAAATGGAACACATCAAGAAAGGACTCCCTGAGTTTACTATCCCTCCCTTCCTCTTCCTAATCTCATTCACTGACATCCCATTTTTCCAATTGATCTGAACAGTGCCCTTATTTTATCTTTTTTGTATGTACTGCTTCCAATCTGCCTGTTGGCTTTCCCTCTAAAACGCACCCTGCATCTGGCCCCTCTTCACCATGCCCACGGCTAGCACCCTCGTCAAGCCACAGCTCCCAGGCAGGTCACTGCATGGACTTCCTGTCCATCCAACAGTCCAGCCACTAGCCAGAGCTAGCCAGCCCAGGCCTCCGTCTGTTCACTCTAAGGACCTCCCATCTGACTCTCACCAGAACCAGCTTCCTCACGGGGTGCACTGGCCTCCCTGGTCCTGCAGCCCTGAGCGCTGCTCCCCACCCCTCCACCATGGCCACGTGACCCTCCTGTGTCCCCAGCTCTGGGCACCTCTGTCCCTCACTCTGCGGTGCTCTTTTCCTCAAGACTCAGATGGCCCACTCCTCCGCCTCCCCCAGTCTTGACTCAAAGTCCACCTTCTCTCTGAGGCTTCCCGCCACCGTCCTTCTCCCCTGCCTTACTGTTTCCTTACCCCTTATCATCATCTAGCACGCGGCTTAGTTTACTCATTTATTTCACTTATTATCTACCTCAGCTACAGGTTGTAAGGTCTATTTGAGGTAGAGTTTGGTCCATAATAGACATTGTTAAACTCTCTGGGCTCAGAACTTAGTCAAGCACTTAGTAGGTGCTTAATACATATTTGTCGAGTGAATGAAGGAGAAGGGTAGGAATATTGTACAGTTTGAGATAACACATGTACAGACTCAGCATGGCTTCTGTGGAGTGAATGTTCCAGAAACATTAACCCAAACCAAATAGAACCTGAAGCCCTGGCATGCAGAGCCTCACCCCTGCGCTGAGATTTTACTAATGTTTCCCAACGTGCCTTTCTCTAGGGCCCAAGGCAGCTCCAGTGGCCTCATTTCTGGTACGCAGCAGGGTTTCCATGTGTTTTTATTCAATCCAAGTGAAAGTAGATGAGTCTGAACTTGTGGGTGATGGATCAGTTGTTTCCTCTCGTGCTGCTCAGAGTCTAAAGGGAGCTGCTGTCGAGGAGTGACCAGAGCCAGCGATGGGATTCAGCACCTCACGGGTGCTACAGACATTGGACTTAGGCAGACGGTTGGCACTGCCCTACGAGCTCTCTCTCCAATTTCTGGGGAGAAAACCTTCCTTCCTGTAGGAGTGCAGGTCTACTCCTATTTTCAGTGAGTCCAGAACAATAACAACAATTGCACTTGTCTCTGGAGTGTGCTTCCTCCCGCCCTCTCTTGCCCCACTAGACCTCAGGCTGGAGGACCAGACGTGAGCCCTGCAGAAGTTTGATAACGACAACAAGAAAGAAACCCAGAAGTGTTATGAGGTGATGTGGATTAAATGTCCACTCACGCCACATGGAGAGGATTCCATTAGTGACCACCAGGGAAGGCGCCATGGAAGAGAAAATGCTTGAGTTAGGGGCTTGAGAGATCAAGGAACCAAGAGACCCAGGATAAAAAAGAGGATCAGCACAAACACAGATAGAAGTGACCTCGGCTGGTGACTGGGGACCCAATTGTCCCATGCTTTTTACACCAAAACATATCAACGTAAGATCAAACATAAAATCTAGGATCTATCACTTCTAATATCTCAAACATAAATGTAATTAGTGGTTTTAAAAACTTACAAAAGATAGTTGGACCAACATACTTTTAAAAAGACAGAACAATTTCAAACTTTTTGTCAAGTTGAAGGCTCCGCCTGGATTTTGTAAGAACCATCTCTGAAGTTCCCTTCCCTGTCATGAATCTGCGGGCACGTTGCCCTTCAGCCTCCCTCTTCAGGAGACAAGATGACAGCTCCCTTTTTTAAAATTTGTCCTAATTAGTCACACATGACAGCAGAATGCATTTCAATTCTTTGTACACAAATGAAGCCCAGCTTTTCATTTCTCTGGTTGTGCATGATACAGAATTGCACCATTTGTGCAGTCACAGGTCACTTCCCTTCTCATAACAGCTGAAGTAACCCCAGGTCACTATGGCCCTTCCCCTTTACCACTGAGGGTCTCCTGGGCCTCTGGTTTCCCCGGCTAAAGGCCAGAGCAGCTCTACATCCCTGCTTTTCCCGGCAGGTTCCTAGTCAAGCACCTGCTCACAACACCCCGTGTGCTCCGGGTCCAGAGCCATCCTGCGGCTGCTGATTGTCCCGGGCCAGGGCAGAAAGAGCCGGAAGCCTCGGCCCCCATTAAGTGTCACCACTCACTGAAGATCAGAACATGCTTATGCCTTCCAAAGGCCAAAGGGTGAACAAACCAAGGTCCTCACGTGCTGTAATATAAAAAAAAAAAAATCAAGAATCTCTCCAACATAAAGAATGAAGTATTTTATCAATCCTGGGGACAGAAGAAAGCTGAATTTTCCTGCCTCTGTTGGTGTTAGGTCAAAGGTCATACAACTAGGTTTGGACCCATGAAAAGCAGATGGAAGACAGTCCTGGCCCTTGAGAAGGTCACGCCAGCATCTCCAGCCGTCCCTCTCTTCCCTTTGACACCATGAGTCCCCATTGGCATGACTCTGTGACAGGGAACCTCTGATGCTTCAGTGTCCTCCTGAGGGACAGCTGCCTAGTCGGTGTCAGACCATGTCATGGCAAGGAACAAACCTCGGTCATGTCCAGCCACAGGTTCTCCAGGGTTTGTCACTTTAGCGTCGTGTGGCCTAGCCTGATCTACTGTCACGTATAACTAATTAAAACAAATAAAAACAAATTTTAAAACACACACTCTGGGAGAGGTGGTGACTTGAAGTTGGTTTATTCATTAGTACTTGCTATTGAGCAATTTTTCTATGTATGCCACGCAGGATGCTCAGCACTTCACATATATAACAGCCCCCTTGGGACCTTACACCCATTTTGCAAATGGGAGAAGTGAGCCTTGGAGAGCTTTACAATAAGGCTTTCCAAGCAGTCTGGAGATTCCTTAGAATACTTGGAATGGAACCACCATTTGATCCAGTTGTCCCACTTCTTGGTTTATACCCAAAGGACTTAAAATCAGCATACTACAGTGACACAGCCACATCAATGTTTATAGCAACTCAATTCACAACAGCCAAACTATGGAACCATCTGTTCCCTTCAACAGATGAATGGATAAAGAAAATGTGGTACATACACACAATGGAATATTACTCAGCTATAAAGAAGAATGAAATTCTGGCATTTGCCAGTAAATGGATAGAACTGGAGACTATTATGGCAAGTGAAATATGCCAGTCCCCAAAACCCAAAGGCCAAATATTCTCTCTGGTATGTGGCTGCTATCCCACAAGGGAAGATGGGGAGGGGAAAAATAGAAGTCTATTGGATTAGACAAAGAGGAATGAAGGGAAGGGGGGAGGGGAATATGAAAGAGTGTAGAACTAATTGGACATAAATTTCCTATGTTCATGTATGAATACACACCCAGGGTAACTCCACATCATGTGCAACCACAAGAATAGAATCCTAATTAGAATAAGTTATAAGAGTATAACTTTACATACATACATATTCTGTATGTACAGTATGCCAAAATACACTTTATTGTCATGCATATCTAAAAAGAACAAGTAATTTAAAAAGGCTTTCCAAAGTCATGCAGTTAGTGATGATTTTTCTGTTGCCAGAGTTCATGTGTCTCAAAGACTGTAAAGCGTCTCTCTTGTGGTTGAAGACCCCTCTACTCTTGTGTGGCAGGAAGAGATGACTCCCTTATCATCATTTTTCTTTATTAAACATCTCTTGCTATTTCTACCAAACTCAGAATTTTCTACATACTGCCCCATTATTTGTTCTAGAGTCATTGGACACAACAAAAGTTCCAACATACCTTGTATCATTAATCTTTATGC